GGCCTCATCAGGATTGCGTTTGACCTCAGTGGGCCTCATCAGGATTGCGTTTGACCTCGGTGGGCCTCATCAGGATTGTGAGCCTTTTATTGTGGGCCTCATCAGGATTGTGTTTGACCTCGGTGGGAGGGGGGACGTGGCCAGCTCAATGTCACTTATGTTGGGGTACCTGTGGTGGAACGAGCGCTCTGCCACTGAAAATGGGCTCCCGAGCTCCATTTTTGGCTTCGATGGCCTCCTGCAACCCTCTGCCAGCGAAAACGAAGCTCGTGGTCCTCCCAAGCTCCATTTTCGCTGGCGGAGGCACCGCTGGCCAGTCCTTCGCTGTTTCCAGGGCGGCCCGGATCTAAGCACCCCACGGGCTGAATCCGGCTCACGGGCCTTGACTTTGACACTCATGTGCTAGCTAGATGGAACTCAAAAGAGCCTCCCTTCGATCATATGGCAGGAACCGGAAGCAAATTTTTCTCCTTAACAGATCTTTCCCCCCCCCCCCCCAATTTCTCCTTTTACAGTAATCCTCGACTTCATGACCACAACCGAGCCCAGAATTTATGTTGCTAAGTTAGAAATTTGGAGTGAGTTTTGTCCCTATTTCAGGACTTTTCTTACCACATTTGTTAAATGAATCTGTACAGTTTTTAAATTAGTAACAGGGTTGTTAAGTGAATCTAGTTTCCCCACAGACTTTGCTTGTCAGATGGTTGCAAAAGAAGATCACATGATGCCTGAACACTACAAACCATCATAAGTTGTCAAGCATCTGAATGTAAATCATGTAACCATGGGGATGTTGCAATGGTCATAAGTGTGAAAAATGGTAATACGTCACTGTTTTCAGTGCTGTTGTAACTTCGGTCACTAAATGGACTGTTGTAAGTCGAGGACTGCCTGTATTCCTAGTGCTTCTGCTTTTTCATTGCAAAATCAAATATGAAGGCATTTAATCCACCCAAAGATCCCTAAGAACATAGTAATGCCTAAGATGCGCTGGTGCTATTATTTATATATTGCTTAAACCAGGGTTTCTTAACCTTGGTGATTTTAAAGATGTGTGGACTTCAACTCCCAGCGGGGGAATTCAGGGGGTTGAAGTCCACACATCTTAAAGTCGCCAAAGTTGAAAAGCACTGGTTTAAAGCAGGGGTCCCCAAACTTGGCAACTTTAAGACTTGTGGACTTCAACTCCCAGAATTCTCCAGCCAGCATAGCTCCCAGAAAGGGAGGGGGGAGCAGTGCAGCAGCTTGCAAAACCAAAACTGCATTCCATAAATGTTTTCAAAGATAGTTTCTAAGCGACCAAAGTTTCTGCTTTGCAAAATTCTAACTGGAGAGCATGACTCTTGGCTATGGACGTGTCCCATTGGAGAATATGAATTATGATACACCCAGGGGGTGGGGGGAAATCCAGGGTCAAGGGTGACAATGAATGATGTGTCTCTGAGTCAGCTACACCCAGGCAATGCCGGCATGTTAACTCTCAATAAATCCTTTTTTAAGTTTTGGAAGCTTGGCTCAAGATTCATGATTTAAATGGGGGTAACTGACGGAATCCTGACACAATCTATTAAATGGAGTTATTTCCATTTAAATAGTACTGTATGTTTCTAATATAGAAAAGAGAATTATTATCATATCATATTATCATAATAGACTGCTGCTGGTATCTTTATACAATAGTGCATACAGCCAGCCAGATTTATTTTTATATAGTTTTTATCCCCAAAAAACTTAGGGATAGCGTTTGTGGTTTCTGTATTCAGAATAGAGACTATCCTATGATGCAGAATTCAGCTTTTATGTTAGACTTAAGTCTTGCCACCGTGACTTAAGACATCTTGAATTCATGTAAAAATTATAATTCCTTGCTCCCAGAGAAGAAATAAAAATGCAATAAGAAATCACACAATATTTAGAAGCTGTTTCTAAGCAGACATGTATTCTTGGACATGACATGGTGTGCAAGCTGCAAGGATTGATTGACAAGCAACTTGAAGTGATTGGGAATCTGGAATAAATCCGTGAAAATATGTACAGACCCCTCACATCCTGGACATAAACTGTTTCAACTTTTCCCCTCAAGATGATGCATAGGACATTGCATGCCAAAACAACTAGACACAAGAAGAGTTTTCCCCCCTCTGCTAAACAACCAATTCCCACAACATTGTCAAACCACCTAGTAGGGTGTATTACTATTAAACTTCTCATCTTTCCTATTACCTATTTCCTTTTCTTCTTATGGTTATAGCTTTGTTGCTTGCATCTTACGATTTGTAATGTTTTATTTATTTTCCTAGTATGATTTATGTTGATTGCCTATTTAGTGTCCTACGCCTATCAGTAAGTGTTGTATCTTATGATTTCTGATGAATGTATTTTATGATTATGACCATGATTTATCACTTGTTGCTTTGTATGTACACTGTGAGCTTATGCACTGGAGACATTGTGTGTCCAATCACATTTGGCAATAAGGAATTCTATTCTATTCTAAATACACCATCAAATGGCAAAAGGGGGAGGGGGGTTTCCAAGAAGAGTACAGATCAAAGGCCAATCCAGCCAACATTCCTGTTGGCTAACTAGATACTTCAAAGAGAATTGGCTAAGCAGAACAACACTTGCATTCTTCTTTTCTTCAAAAACCAATGTAGTAAGTTATTTGCAAGTATCAGGGTTACTAGCCACTGAGCCTAGTTTAAACTAGCCCTATAGTCTAGCTCAGGGGTAAGGAAACTTGGCTCTTTTATCACTTATGGACTTCAACTCCCAGAATTCCTGAGTGAGCCATAAAAGGTTCCCCATCCACAAGTTTTTCAGTTGTGGGGGAAATCAATTTCTGACTTGAGTGGGAGTATATTAAACAGTCCCATTCAAGTCAAAAATTGATTTCCCCCACATGATAGCAGTGTTCTGATATTTCAGGGGCTGCTACAAAGAAGAAGGGGGTCAACCTATTCTCTAAAGCACCAGAAGGCAGGGCAAGGAACAGTGGATGGAAACTAATCAAGAAGAGAAGCAACCTAGAACTAAGGAAAAATTTTGTAACAGTGAGAACAATTAATCAGTGAAACAACTTGATTCCAGAAGTTATGGATGCTCCGTTCACTGGAAGTTTTTAAGAAAAGATTGGGCAACCATTTGTCTGAAATGGTATAGCGTTTCCTGCCTAAGCAGGGGGTTGGACTATAAGATCTCCAAGGTCCCTTCCAGTTCTGCTATTCTATTATCCTGATAGTGTTATGGCAGAGTTCCAATTCTCCAGACCAGCAATTCCTCCACTTGCATCCAGTGTAGTATCTGAATGGATACATTCCCCCTGGAGTCATTTTCCAGGACCAGGGTTTCAAATGTCGCTCCCATGCAGGATTTAATAAGCCACAGTCCTCAAACCTTTGACCCACATGCAGCCATTATTGATCAGCATTCCCTCTTCCCGATCCTTTTAACAGGAAGCCAGGCATTCCTGTTGGCAGCAATCCTGGCTGCCAATCAAGAATATTTGTACCTCAGGGTTGACAGGAGCAGTCCTTGCTGCTCTCTGCGCCTGCTTGTTTTCTTGCAGACGTTTCACGACCCATACTAGGTAACATCATCAGTGCTAGTAAGGAGTGCGGTTTGCTGTCCATTTATGTTCTGATGGCTGGACCTGTCAGTGTTGATGGGGTGGGTGGTCTTAGAGCAAGAGTCTTCAAACTTGGCAAGTTCAAGACTTGTGGACTTCAACTCCCAGAATTCCTGAGCTAACATGGCTGGAGGAGGAATCCTGGGAGTTGAAGTCCACAAGTCTTAAGTTTGAAGATCCCTGTCTTAGAGATTCTTTGGTTGGGCTCTTTACTATTGGCTCTTTGGCAGCTTCTTGACTGGGGTATTGTTTCCTTGACTGTTGGTCTGTTGTTAATCTTGGGAGTTAATCTATGCTGATCTGGGTGCTGATTGCTGGAGAGATTTTGGAGTCTTTTTGTTCTCTTTTAGGCTGACATTGTCTCTTTTGCACAGTCTATAGATGCTGTTAAATGTCTTCTTGATGGCTGATTTGTCAGGGTGCCAAACAGCCCCAACCAAAGAATCCCTAAGCCCACCCACCCACCACCCACCAACACTGACAGGGCAAGCCCCCAGAAGAGAAACGGACAGCAAACTCCCATTCCTTCCTAGCACTGATGATGTGACCTAGATTAAAACGTCTGCAAGACAACAAGCAAGCTCAGACAGCAACAAAGACCACCCCCCTCCCGGCTCAATCCCGGCTGATCGACCAAGCCAAACTCGATCAGTCCAGGCCTGGATGGGAGACCACCAGGAAATCCAAGCTCGTCGAAAACCTCTGTCCCAGCGCTTAGGAAACAACAAGGACGAGCCCTTGGAGCCCGCTCCTCCCCCGGGAAGGCAAAGGACGAAAGGGATTTGACTCTCGCCTGCCCGATCCCGCCTCCTTTCGGGTGGACCCCGCTTTTTCCTCGAGAAGCAGAGCAAGACCCGGAGCTCCCCGGGGGGGAAAAATGGGAAGAGACAATCCGAAAACAACATGGACGCGCGTCCACGGAGTCCATCCCCCCACCCCACCCCCAGTTTCCCCGGAGCCCTGCCTCGCCTCTCCGCTTTGCAAAACCGGCCCAGGGACGCTGACCTTCCCCGTTCCCGTCTGCAGTTCCCCCGCCCGGTGGGTCTTCCTCTCGGCTCTCCACGCGTTGACTTTCCCTCGCCGCTGCCGAGCGGGCGGGCGAGAAGAGGACGGTCCACCTGCAATCGCCGCCAAGCCGTGGACTGTGCCGTCCACTGGGAGAATGGAGAGGGGGCGGGACAGGAAGAGTCCGCGCCCCCTCCCCTTTGTAAAAGGGGCCCCGGCCGGCATTTCCTCTTCCCTCCTCTCTAGGAATGGGAGATCCGCTGCTTTAACCATTTCAGCGGGGGGAAGAGAAAGCGAGAGACAAGGATGGGGAGGAAGCGGAGGATAGAACGCCCACGGGACAAACAGGAATTTGGGGTGGGGGGAGGGCTTTGGATCTGAGCAATCAGGAAGTTTGAGGGGAGGGCATGGATCTGAGCCTTGATTTTGCAGAGATGCGGATGAAAGCCCAACAAACAGCATTGCCCTCGGAAGTTGTGGGAGCGGCATCACTTGAGACTTTCAAGAAGAGATTTTATTTTATTTATTTATTTATTTATTTATTTATTTATTTATTTGATTTGCCAATTGTTTACAAGATAATAAGTATAAGAGTATACATAGTTGTGAATACATGAAATGGGTACATATATGAAAAATAAAAGAATAGGAGAAACAATAGGACAGGGACGGTAGGCACGTTGGTGCGCTTATGCACGCCCCCTACAGACCTCTTAGGAAAGGGGTGAGGTCAATAGTAGACAGTCTAAGGTTAAAGTTTTGGGGGTTTGGGGAAGAAACTACAGAGTCAGGTAGAGTATTCCAGACATTGACCACTCTGTTGCTGAAGTCGTATTTCCTGCAATCAAGTTTGGTGCGGGTTACTTTGAGTTTGTATCTATTGTGTGCTCTTGTGTTGTTATGGTTGAAGCTGAAGTATTCACTGAGAGGTAGGACATTGCAATGTATGATTTTATATACCATGCTTAAGTCAGACCGAAGACGGCGTAATTCAAGGTTTTCTAGTTCTAGAATTTCAAGTCTGGTGGCATAAGGTATTCTACAACGAGTAGAGGAGTGGAGAACTCTTCTTGTGAAATATTTCTGGACTTTCTCAATTGTGCTAATATCAGATACGTAATGTGGATTCCAGACTGATGAACTGTATTCGAGTATTGGTCTAGCAAATGTTTGTATGCTCTGGTTAGTAGTGTGATATTACCAGAGAAAAAGCTACGTAGGATTAGGTTAACAACTCTTAATGCCTTTTTGGCTATGTAGTTGCAGTGGGCTCTAGCACTTAGATCATTAGAGGTGAGTATTCCAAGGTCCTTTACAGAGCTTGGGTCATCAACAAGTTCTTGATTATTCAGCTTGTATTTTATTTTCTGATTTTTTTTGCCAATATGTAAGACAGAGCATTTATTTGTTGAGATTTGAAGTTGCCATTTGTTTGACCATTCTGATACATAGTCAAGATCTTTTTGTAGGGTAGCAGTATTGTCTGTGGTATTGAACAGCTTTACGTCATCAGCGAAGAGAACGCAATTGCTCTTAATATGATCACAGAGGTCGTTTATGTAGAGTATGAAGAGAGTTGGTCCCAGAACACTGCCTTGGGGGACACCACTATTGACAGGTACTGGATTTGATAGGACGCTCCCGATTTTGACCATTTGTTGTCTGTTTGACAGGAATGCTTCTATCCAGTTATTCAGTTGTCCAGAGATACCATAGGATTTTATTTTTAGGAGTAGTTTATCGTGTACCACTGAATCAAAGGCTTTACAGAAGTCTATGTAGATTGCGTCTATTGCTTTGCCCTGGTCGAGTTGTGTTGTCCATATGTTTTTGCAGTGTAAGAGTTGTAGATTACAAGATAGTTTTTTTCTGAAACCAAATTGTTTATTGGAGAGTAGGTTATTTGTCTCTAAGTGGAGGATGATGGATTGGTTAATAATTGATTCCATGACTTTACAGGTGACGCAGCATAAGGAGATTGGCCTGTAATTTTCAACTAGGCTTGGGTCTCCCTTTTTGAAGATGGGGATGACTGTGGCTTGTGACCATAGGTTAGGCAAGGAGCTGGTCCTGAAAGATTTTTCAAAGATTATGCTTAGAGGTTTGGCTATTGCAGTGGATAGCTTTCTTAAGAAGTAGGCACATATTCCATCCGGTCCAATAGATAGAGATGGTTTTAGATTGCATAGTGATTTTTCAACATTGTCTTCTGTGAAATCGATATGTATTAGATCATTATTGTTATCTGTGGTACGGCTAGGAAATACTGGGCATGATCCATTGCTGTTTACAAATACTGAGCCGAAGAATGTGTTAAAGATGTTGGCTTTAATGGTGTCGTCGTTGCAGTCTTTACCATCAGGTCCTAACAAGGGAGGGATGGACCTTGAGTCTTTTAGTTTGTTGTTTACAAAATTGTAAAAAGCACGGGTGGAATTAGTGCTTAGAAGGTTTTCCTCTTGTTTAATGTGATAATTGATGCATTCGGTCTTTATCTGGTGGCATAAATTTTTGTATCGGTTTTTGAAATTGGCAACGTGACCAGTTTTGTTTTTCCTCCAGAGTGCCATCTGTCAGAAATGGTGTAGGGTCACCCGCTTGGGGGGGTGGGTGGACTAGATGACCTACAAGATCCCTTCCAACTCTGATTATCTGTGAACTGGCGCCAAATGGGAAAGCTTGAGACGGGCTTGGAGGTGGAGAGTGTAACTTTCTGAAAGCACCTTAGGAAGGTGTATGATAAGCAGAGATGGATGGGCTCGCAAATCTGTGATCTGCTGAATCACCTTAAAATTTAGGGAACGTCCTCTGCACCTCCTATGATGCAGTGGTATCGTGGGCAGGTGTATATTATTGTGATATACACAGTTGTTTGCTGCCAGTTATTTATGCTGCTGGTGTTGGCTTTCCTACGCATCGTGTTTTCCCCACAAAACCTAGGATACCAGGGTAGAGTGTACAAGCAATGTGGACTTTTGCAATGATGGTAACTGATAGTAATAGCAATAGCACTTAGACTTATATACCACTTCAGCAGTGCTTTCCAGCCCTCTCTAAGCAGTTTACAAGGCTCAGCTATATTGCCCCCAACAATCTGGGTCCTCATTTTACCCAACCCAAAAGGATGGAAGGCTGAGTCAACTTTGAGCCTGGTGAGATTTGAACTGCCAAATTGCAGGTAGCCGGCAGGCAGCAGAAATATCCTGCGGTACATTCTAACCACTGAGCCACCATAGCTGAAAGATGGTAACTGACAGATGGAAATGATACATTCAATGCATAGATTTTGTAGGATAAGAATAGGAATGTGGAAAATAACAAAGTGCTGTTTTTGCATCAGACCTAATTTAACATTTTTGAGACCATGCACTTAGAATAATACAGTGGAACCTCCATTGACGACCGTAATCTGTTCTGAGAATTTGCTCAAGAGCTCCCAGGCATGTGATCCTGTCCACCATTAAACCATCTTTCCAAACAGCCTCCATGTTTCCAGTGTCTTTTTCCCCACTTGGAACTGAACCCAGAAGGATATTTCTTCCAACACTATTTAAAACGGTAAGAATGCTAATCCAATCATTAGGAAACTGTGGATTGTGAAAATCCCAATCCAACCGTCAGGGGGAAGATCTCCATCCTGCCCTCTTGCAAAGAGACAAATAGCAAGTCCTTCACTTATGATCACAATCGAGACCCGAATTTCCATTGCTAAGCAAGGCAATTAAGTGAGTCAGGTCTGATTTTACAATCATTTTTGCCACAACTGTTGAGAAATTCACTGCAGTTGTTAAGTGAATTTGGCTTCCCCCAATAACTGCTTGCCAGAAGCTAGGTGGCAAGGTTGCAAATCATGATGATGTGACTCTGGAACATTACAACCATCATAAATACATGCCCGTTGCCAATTCTGATCACTTTACTGTGGGGGGTTGCCGTAACCAGAGGTGGTATATTCAGCAGGTTCTGTTACCAGTTCTGGAGAACCGGTAACAGAAATTTTGAGTAGTTCGGAGAACTGGCAAATGCCACCTCTGACTGGCCCCGCCCCCATCTATTCCCTGCCTCCTGAGTCCCAGCTGATTGGCTGGGACATCTTTTGTTGCCCTGCGCAGGAGAACGGAGCTGGAAAGCAGGTTAGTGGGGTGGGGAGAGAATGGAGATTTTGCAGTAACCTTCCTACAGGAGTAGGGAGGGAATGGAGATTTTGCAGTATCCCTTCCCCTGCCACGCCCACCAAGCCACGCCCACAGAACTGGTAGTAAAAAAAAATTGAATCCCACCACCGGCCGTTAACAATCCTAAATATGAAGACTGGTCATGAAGCACTTTTTAAAGTGCAGTTGAAATTTTGAATGGTTGCTAAACAAATGATTATAAGATGAGGACTACCTATATTGTGGTGTTCTAAGTACCCACCAAGCCTGGTTATTTGATTGCAGGTGTTTCATTACCGAACTAGGTAAACATCTTCCAGGCGAAAGTTCACTCACAGTGATGTTACCTAGTTGGATAACAAAAAAAAATCTACAAGCAAGCAACCCAGCTCTGAGAGCACCTAGCATTCCACAGTTCAACCCTGAGTTACAGATATTATTTTCTATTAAAGAAATACATTTTACATTTTACTAATTATCGGCTTTGGCTATTACCGTATCCCTAATTTCAGTTACAAAATGAAATATTGTGGAGACAAAGCAAGTAGAGAGGCTTCTCTCAGTGTTCAATACTGGTAGTCCTCAACTTACGACCATAATTGAACTCAAAATTTCTGTTGCAAAGCAATACAGTTGTTAAGTGGCATCGTTGTTTCCCCCCATTTTAGGACCTTTCTTGTCACAGTTGTTAAATGAATCATTGCAGGGAGGTATCAGTACCTCACTTGATCTTGATTGTATCCCTCTGTTAATGCAACTTAGAAGTGAGGTACTAATACCACTCTATAAAGCCTTAGTAAGACCACGCCTAGAGTACTGAATCCAGGTTTGGTCACCACCATAAAAAAGATGTTGAGACTCTAGAAAAAGTGCAGAGAAAAGCAACCAGGATGATTAGGGGACTGGAGACTAAGGCATATGAAGAACGGTTACAGGAACTGGGCATGGCTAGTCTAGGGAAGAGAAGGACGAGGGGAGACAGAAGAAACGTCTTCCAATATTTGAG